TCAAACTATTAAGTGACTGAAAACCACAAAGATTCATAATGACTTGATGAAAATGAGAAAAAGCAGCACATCTTTACAAGGTCAAAAGATTTGACAGAAATTAAGGATGAAATTCCAGCGATGTCAAATTCCCAAATAAAAGTAAACAGATGTAGTTTTCAGCTGCCAGACACTTTTAAACAGCTGGCGTTGTTTGTTGTTTTCATTATCTGCTTGTATTTGTGGATGTGTTCGTGAGAGCACATGCGTGTGAGCCTTCCTGTGTGTGTCACGCTCCACTTTCAGTAGCCGAGTCTCACAGCCCCGTCAGTGGTAGTGTATGGACACCGGGGGGTGTTTAAGTTTGTGTTTAATGCCCGTGTGGTTTGGCATGTCCACGTGTGCACCGGTGCGTGTAATTTTCTTCTCGTTATTTAGTCACTTTGTTCTCCTCTGACTCCCGTGTTACGATACCCGATCTGTCTCTTTCCCCCCTTCTGTCGCCAATACCCCAGAGGGCTCTGGAGCAGCAGATGGAGTCACATCGTGAGGTGCACAGCAAACAACTGGGCCGCCTGCGAGACGAGATCAATGAGAAGCAAAAGATCATCGACGACTTAACTGAGTGAGTGCTTCACCGTAAATTCTTTACTTTTTAAAACCAAGACTCAGTTTTTGGATATCTATAACTTGTGCAAGAGTTTGAAAAGAAAAGTATTTTAAGGTAAAGAATCAAATCGTTCAAGCAGAAAAATCACAAGGATGCAATAGAAGAATATTTCTTTCAGTTGTTGAGACCGTGGCACTGCGGAAATATAGGCCATGAATGTTTTCTAAGGGAGACGACTTTCCGTACCGCAGCAACACAGCTGCATGCTCAAATTTGAAATTCAATTTTACCCTCATAAGTGGTTTGCAAACGCTCAAACTGGGAATACATGTTTTCAGTATCTCTCAAACCTTCAACACGGTCTAAGCCCCAATGTTCAGACTGGCTGAAATGAAAACGTGTGGGTGGTTTACATGGTCAGGAAGCTGCAGAGCCAAGCTGCTACAACCCCAATGCGAGGAGCCACTGGCCTGGTTTGGCCTAAATGAAAACCCATCCCTTCAGGTACCTTGTTCTGATGATGTACTACACCAAGCGTGGCCATCTGGGAGGAGACCACTGGGCAGACCCTCTCTAGGGACCAAAGTACATTTTCCAGCTGGCCTGGGAGTATCTGTTAACACCCAAGGAGCAGCTGCAGAGAATTTCAGTTTGAACAGACATTTGGTGCTGCTCTGCTTATCCTGCTCACACAGCCTGATTTGGATAAGCAGCTTTAAAATAGATCGGAAGGATGGATGTCGGTGAGGTGGAACGCATATAAAACAGGAGCAGGGATGCCCTCCGGATCCTTTGAAGAGAATGTCAAAAAGTAGGTATATACATACATTAAATGGTAGTGCAGATTGCAAGGATCACACGCAAATGCAAGAGTTTACAGGTGTGCACCCTTTTTTGGTAAGTGCCACTGAAAAATATGTTGTGTCCATGCTCTAATGGGGCATTTCAATGCTCTGGTTGTGACCTAATTACACACTTGGGCTACTTAAGTGCCCCTCTGCTCTGCCAAAATGCCTGTCTGGCCAGTACAGCCATGATTTGAATTAGGGACAAAAATACACTTACACTGCATGCACTAATGGTGCTGCTTCATCATTTTTGCTCGTGTGCACACCACTGAGCTGGAGCCATATGCCTGGGACTGGGACAGACAGCTCTTTTCTCATGTGACAGAAAGGTTTTGTAAGGATAGCCTAATTAAATAAAACCACAAGGAAACCAGTTAAAAGCAGCTAAGAACACTTAAAGGCATACGATGTGGGATTTTTGTAAAGTATGCACGTGATCATCACCGGTGACTCACTGGAAGTGTTTGCTAGAGATGATTAAACAAAAAAAAAAGTTGTTGGGCATCAATCTTTGAGGTGTGTTTGTGTGGCTCAGAGAAAATAATAGCATGACGCTTGTGGCAATAGGAGTCAATAAAAAGTTAATGACCAGGTAGCATCCCATCCCAATCTTCCCCGAGCAGTTTGCAAATGTATTTATTTTTTATTTTAGAACTACTGTGGAGCAATCAGAAAATACAAATGTGTCCTTTCTTATTCGTTATTTTTTTTTTCTCATCAGTGCATCTCACTCTTCAATCTCCAGCTCACTTATTCTCGCTGTTCTCTCTGCCATAGTAACAAAACGAACCTCCATTTTTTATTTCCATTCCTCCAAAAATCCTAAGGGTTGTGCTTATGTTGCTAATAGCTACATCCCTGTGTTTTTGTAATATAAAAAGATCATATATAAAAGATGTCACGACTGAGTCACTTAACACCTTTTTGCAGTTGTAACCAGAGGCAGCAGCTGGAGCTAGAACAACTGCACAGTGACTTTGAACGTCTCAGAAGCCGAGAGCATCACAAGAGCCGGCAGCTGGAGGAATTGACGTGAGTCGCTGCTTTACTGTCCTGGCCGGCTTTCAAACACTTCACCATATGGAGGCCTGGGGGCGAGCTGAGCTGCCTCTTTTGATTTGTGTCTTCCCTTTCTCTCTGTCATTTGTCTTCCTTTTGTCTATTTATTTGCCTCACGCTCGGGAGCTCTGACTGAATTCTATTTACAGTATCTTACTCTTCTGCTGTTAACTCTTTCTTAGCCTGCTCCTCTCTCGGTCCTTTTCTTCCTGTCTGACTCTCTTTGCATCTCCATTATGGAGTTTCAGAATAAGGTGGCAGCTAATAGGCCTCTTTCTACACTGACCTTTGCAGCATATTGCATCAGATGGCAGATGGATAACAGCCCATGAGTGGGGCAGACATTATGTGCTGCCTTTGTTCTCTATTCATGAATTATTCTGGCAAGAATTTGGTAATCGTTTGGATAAAGAGAAGTTCAGTTTGACTCTTCTATGCGTCCGTGTCTGAGCATTTATCTGTCTGTCTATAGATTCCTCCACGAGCGACACGAACAATCCAAACAGGATCTCAAAGGCCTGGAGGAAACTGTTGTAAGTTAATAAATTCTGTCACGATTCAACGACTCAGTCCTCTCGAACTGCTTTAACTGCACTATTTTCTCTGTTCCTTTATCACACTGCAGGCTCGTGAGCTCCACACCCTGCACAACCTCCGCAAGCTTTTCGTTCAAGACCTCACAACTCGATTTAGAAAAGTAAGAGACATAACTAAACCCTTTTACTCAACACGTAGAAACAGGTGGTTCTGTCTAGAGTTACGGTGACATTTTCTATTCTATTCTATTTCATCTCTTTTTTAATCGACAGAGTGCACAGATGGAGCCTGATGATACTGGCGGATACATCACCCAGAAACAAAAGATTTCCTTTCTTGAAAACAACCTGGACCAGCTTACAAAGGTTCACAAACAGGTAACAGCACACAGCTCCTACAGAACTTTAATTTATAGTGACAGAAACAGGAAACATTTGACCTGTCCACGCCTAGTTTGAAAATTAAGACCAATGACCAGGTTCCCTTTGACCAGGGGGCTGATTTCCCCTCTGCAGGGTTGCAGCAATAAATCAAAAAATGTCTACGATGAATATTTGCGGCGGACAAAGAGGCACAGACAAATTAAAATACAGAGCTGTGTGCAGTGTTTGTCATTTCTCTCCTGTGGGCAAAAGAAACACTAGCACGATCGATCATCTCACTACACCAAGTTCACATGAAAGTCTCCTTGAAAACAGAGCAGCAGGATTTGTTAACCCCCCCTCTCTCTCCAGGGAAAGGACGCCTCACTGCATAAAACAGTAAGACTTGAACACTCCTCATGCAGGTGCAAACAGGCATTCTCTGTCTTTTCTCCGCTTCCACACAAACTCTGAAAACCAACCTTGCTCTCAGAAAGTCATAAACATACGCACACACCTCATATTTTTAATATTCCTAAATGGACCACCTCCGTGGACTAAGTGTTGGATGTGCTGAATGTTCTGCAGGCTGGCAGATTGGGGAAAGCTGCAGTGCAGCAGTTTGTCAGGCAGAAAACCAATCCTAAAGTGGCTGCTGGGAGACTCCATCCCATCCACCACCTGCTGATACTGTGGGAATGGAAGGTGAAAGTCATGGTCATAAATCAGCAGTAAAGTGATAAGGCGTGCAAATGGGCAGTGGACACTACACCAAAGCTGCAAGTTTCTCTGCCGCTGCACAGATTTAATCATCTCTGTCTGTCCGTCAACTGTAAAAAACGAGCAATCGTCACTAAAATATGTCGCCAGCAAACAAACTAACGCCAACGAGCCACAGGTGAATATCCCAAACACATTAATGCTTTGGCTGCTAGATAACGTTGCCCATTGTGGAAAAAATCTCAGCTATAGTGCTCATTATCTCTGCAGGGTATGGATTAGTTTGCATGATCACACAGAAGCAGACTGTGAGTGTTTAGGTGCTCACTTATTAACGTTTGCGTTTAGAGGAAACATGCAGCATGAGGCAGATTTAAATCATTGCGTCCTCGTGTTGATTTAGCTTCATAAATATAGGCACATTATAATATTAACTGACAAGTGCACATATGGATTTTCTAGGCCAACGCTGATATATATGAATATTTAATACAAGGTATGGCCACCTCTGGATATGATGCAAGTAGCCACCTGGACTGCACAAGTGTCTGGATCAGTTATCAGGAGCTGCTCTCTGTTCCTGGTTGAGTGCAGTGGCATCGACCCTCCATGTCCCAGTTGTGTTTTTTAGGAGTCACACTTGAGACTAAGTGCTTGGACGGGGGATTTCTGGATATATACTACTGATCCAGAAAGACCTGCAGTACTCTGGCAGTGTGGGGTCAGACAATAACCTGCTGAAAGTGCCGCAGGGGTGGGGTGCTACTGTAAGAACGGCACAACTGCAAGTTGGAGTATCTTGTCTCAGTAAAACTGTTCATGCACATTTCCACCAAGTGAAAATCAGATCACAGATTGCCTCATGTGTCATGGACATCCAAACAACAGCTCCGACACTCATATCAGCATCTAGCAACTATGTTCCTTTAAAAAATACCCAGTTTAAAAGATCCATTACACCCACGGATTTAATACATGTTTAGGAAAATCATAATGATGATTATCATAATGTCACGCAACTGTTTACAGCATCTGCTCATCGAAGCCGCACAATATTCAAGAGGATTGTGATTCTATTCTTCCCTTCTGATCTGCTTAGGCTAATTCATATTCTCATGATGCTTTGAGGCTCTGCTGAGATCTGAGGTGTAGAGGAACAGCTGCCATGCTGGTCACCTCTAAAATACCTTGAAATATTCATTCATTGTGTTCAGGCCCATTATTTTAATTCATAACAGAAACTTAAATGGAGATGATTCAACAGTTTTCCAACTTTTTCCCGGTTGTAGATTTCTGATAGAAGTAGTGCTTTTTACATCACCGGTGCAATTGTGGGCTGTCTCTTCCTGGTACAATTGTCAGGTTACACTTGATGTTTCTCTGTTCCACCCCACTGCACCCATTTGACCCTAACTGATCTGAAATGGACGTTATGGTCACACACTTCCTAGGCTCCACTTTTTGTACTCTGCACTATATTCTTAGTAAAAAAAAATCTTAGATTGCAAAACATATGAGCAACTCTTTGGGGAGGCAATGGTTCAGGAAGTAAAATGGGTCATCTATCAATTAGCAGCCAGTGGACTGATCCCCTGCTCCTTTAGTCTGCTTATAAATTATCCTTGGGCAAGACACTGAACCCTGAGCTGCCCTGGTGCATTCATCAGAGCGTGAGTGTGTCAGAGTGGAGGCCTGTAGTAAGAAATTGCTTTGAATCATAGAAAATGTATAACTTGTCTTTCTGTAGTTATAGCTTGTTTTTTGCACATGTCGGATTTGTGTTACAGCTGGTACGTGACAACGCAGATCTGCGCTGCGAGCTTCCAAAACTGGAGAAACGTCTTCGGTCTACAGCCGAGCGAGTAAAGGCGCTCGAGGGTGCGCTGAAGGAGGCAAAAGAAGGAGCCATGAAGGACCGCCATCGCTACCAACAGGAGGTGGAGCGAATCAAAGATGTGATGAGGGCCCGCGCTCCCTTCCGCCGACCCCACGCTGCGCTCATCGGTATACAACTTGCTCACAGATTCAAAATAACAGCCGCAGTCTGCTAGAAGTTACGTGACAGTGCTGCATGGGTCATTTCTGTGAAAGCTTTGCGATTGCTTTAACACTGCAGTATCTTTTAATCTGTAGGTAGCTGTAAAATGCATCCAATCATTTAGTCTGCAGCAAATTCATCGTTGCCACTGCATCGTTTCATAACAGTTTAGAGACACATGTGAAAGCTGTTTCTCAGTAATTGGGCAGCACAGCACCTGAAAAACATTGAATTTAAATCAACCGATTCATCAGAACATGTCGGTTAATCCACTCAAATGTGGTAAATCTAAAAGTCAGGCTAATTTTCTTTTATGATGTGATGTATAAGCCCCAAATTCAATAATAAAATAAGGGGAAAAAATGCATGCAAAGCCCATGCCACTTCCTTTGGCTGCACTGTAGGAAGGATATAGTATATATATCCTCTCCAGCACTACATGTGTGATGTTGCACATGTAGACACCGTTGTGCGTCTCATCTCCCTCCCATCAGATCGCCTCCTTTGTAATGCAGCATGTGAGAAAAATCGTTCAGCATTGTGCAGTCATTCTTTTCACGTCCCTGTTGAGATTTTCCCACAAGCAGCATCCATTGTGTGCTTTTTCCCTCTCTGCTCATCTGTTGTCTCCTTCCTACATTCCTCTTAACATATCATCACATTTTCACAACCTGCATGATCGAGCTGATGCCCTTTTCTTCCTTTTCCAAGCTTGTTTCATATTCAGCAAGCAAACATGCATGTAACCGAATTCTCCTGCTGTGGAACAAATATGTAAAGGACTGTTTACGTTGCACCGAAATGAGAAAAGAATTTACTTAAACGAAACAAAAAGCTGTCGAGAGAGTTTTTGCATGAAAGAATGTAACAGTTGGTGGAACATTCGGCTTCTAAGGATTTACGCGGTAGGCATATTCTCCTTAAAGAAATGCGAAACGTTAGAGTAACAGTGTAATTCATTCTGATCACTAGCTTGCTACTTCAACTCAGGGTAATTTCACTAAAGAAATGAGAGATGCATGTGCTGCTGTAATGAGAAAATGAGCTATTGATTTAAATCAGCGCTTTCAGCATAATGATTTTCATTCGAGGATTAAAGCAAAGCAAACGAGACTATCTGTGATATTTCGCTTTGCATTAATATATTTTCAGTGTTGGGCTTTAAGCATCATCCTAAAGGGCAAATTAAATACGTCTGGCTTTAATGGATGAGTGAATCAATCAATACACTGTTCTCTGTTATCACTTACAGCCAAGCCTGTACGCCCAGGCCACTACCCAGTCTGCTCTCCCACCAACCCCTTCTTTATCCGAGGCTTCAGCGATCAGCCCATTGCCTTCTGCAACGCTGTTTTCCACAACAGGAACAAAGCAGCCCCTGCTTCTGCTGCTCCTGCTGCTCCCGCTGCTCCCGCTGCTCCCGCTGCTCCCGCTGCTCCTGCTGCTCCTTCGTCTCCTATATCTGCTTCTCCTACTTCTCCCTCAACACCAGAGAGTGAGCCCAGGCTACCTGAGTCCAACTCCAATCAGAACAGCCCTGCCAAACACCTCGACTTCCAAAATAATGACGCACATGACAGCAATGTTCAAAACAATATGTGAGTAAAACAGCTGTTTTGGGCGATTTTAGTCACTTTTTGTGGTTCTTACCATATTTCACCTTCTTGACTTTAGTTAATAATCAGTATCATATAACTTTAACTAAGCCACACTTTCTCTGGTTTTATATGAGATCGTACTGAGGGGCAATACCTGTATGCCACTTAATGTTGTCTGGAACTTTCTTAAGTTTGCGTCAAGAGTGTTTATTAACCTTTTTATCGGACCCACAGACCAGTCAGACTTACAAAAACCCCAACTTCTTTCTCAATGTCTTTTAGTGAGTGATATCACCAGTTAATCCATTATGTTTACATAATAATTGGGTTTCTACTGTTAGCCTGCACTTTGTCCTTATTTTCAATTTTATTTATAATCTTTTAATCCATTAGGATTAACTCGGTGAATTAGGTTGTTTGAATGAATTTG